ACAAAGTAAAGACCTACAATATTTGTTGAATATTGTCTGAGTCCTTACAGGGCGCTAGCCGTCGAGCGGATGGGAATTGAAATTGCCACCGAGAAAGAAAAATTGGGGCTTCCATCCGTGTGAGTTAGAAGTCTTCTCGATGACAATTGGAGGAATAAAAGGTTTGGATTTAGAATGGGAAGACAAGTAGAAGAACCCCCTTTGACCTGGGGAAGCCCTAAGGGTATAGTAGTACAAAAATCCCTCGACGGTGATGTCAAGGTTCAAAAATTTTCTCTACAAAATCACCATGGAGTTAATAGTCACCCAACAATTGGGTAACAGCTGTGTAGGAGAAATCTGATAAAGGCCACATAGGGCCTTCGCAAAAGGGTCAAAAGGGAAAAGGATCTGGTATACACAGTCATATGGTTAGCAAGGGGGTTATAAGCTCTATCATTAGGGGTAGGTATAATTAAATAAAAATTGTTAGCATCGATCTGTGCGTCGTGAAATGCCCTCATGGCAACTCTGGGCTTTATCTTGGATGGGTTAACATCAGTCACCATGCCTGAGAGTCCACTCATCATCGTTACCTTATAGCCACGACCTTCAAAAGTGCTGACTCGTAAACCGTCGTTCTCATCATCGAGAATAATGAGGTCGCCTGGTTGAGAAGTCGAGACCGACCCCTCGGCGTATTCCTCCACTTGGCGGAGCAATGAATCCCCGCTGTCGATCGAAGTCGAGCTCGACGTCGCAGCTTTTTCAGGGTCGTCTCTGACCCTGGAGGTAGAGACCTCTCGACCTAACCTGTTTTGGCAGCATGTTCTTGAAATAAACAAGAGGGGGTCAAGTTAGAGCTTAATGGTCTAGAGGTCAGAAACATAGTTAGGGAAGAAAATAGAATCAAGTTTGGATCAAAATGGCCCAAAGGTCAGGTATTGACAATACCAGATTCATACTGAAACCCAGAAATGCGTTTGAGAATCCAGAAGTGAGTCAAAAGTTCACACAAGGGCCTCCAAAACCTAGAAATAGGTCAGAAAACCCTAACACGAACGATCAAACTTAAGAAAATGCTACCACGGAAACTCAACCCAGATCCGAACTAAAGTTTCAATTGGTAATACGAAAAGAAAAGGAAGAAGCCAAAGTAACTTACTAGGTCTTTGAAGATGGTCTGAAATCCCAAGAACGGAGAAGGAGAACGATAAGTGTACACGGCAGACGGAGTTAGAGAAGGGAAAGCTCTGACGAAAATCTAGCAGAGTAACAGCAGGGTTCTAAAAAATAGATGCCCAAATACCTTTTTCATTTTGGTATATATAATAAGGGAAGGAAAACCCAGAAGTCTCAGGGAAACCTAAAGGACTTCAAATCTCGACCGTCGAATTTGAACCAAGCCCATCCAACGGTGAATCTGAAGAGACGCGATCTGGCAGTCCAGAATAGCACAGGAGCAATAAAATATAATCCAACGGTTGTTATTTATCCCTCTACTGCCACGTGTCCTTAGGGGACAAGGGTCATGACTGTTGACATGATCGACATTACTGCTCCACTACTCGAGAAACACACTGCAGTGATGGTACTGTACCGGTTGGCCGCTGCCATAGCATGCTCGTAAAAAGATTGCCACGTAATACTATCGACGCTTTATAGCCTGAAACATCACAACATGGTATTCCAGGCTGGGGGCAATTATTCCACCATGGTCCAAGAATCGACCACTCCTTTGGCCGTTATGTGCCGAGACATTCTGAGCCGAGAATTGGTTTCTGATGTCGAGGAATTGATTATATATGAAATGCCCTCAAGACGATAAGAGTTCTAGAGGGAAGAAGGATATGGGTCGAGGACTGCCTGAGTGTGGAGTTCACGACGTCGAGAGAGCATCCTGATCAGATTCAAATTAAATTCTACCGAATCAGGAGATGATAAGTTACAGCAACTGTCTAGATTTAAATTTGGAAACCAGATAACCAATAAGGGTAATTTCCCGGATTCAATCATTCAAATATGGAAACACAACTGTCAAATCTCGAGATTTGGGGATGAGGGAATGATCCTTGCGCCACTGAAGATAAGGATCTCTTATTACATTTGGGGCCTATAAATGGAGCTTAAATCCATCATTTAGTTTTTTACGCACTATTTTACTCCGAGAGAGATTGTATTTCTAAGAATATTAGTGTTTCTACAAGTGGATATAGGTAAAGAATTTCTGCCAAACCACTATAAAGTTGTGTCTTTTACTTTTTTGTAATTATTTTCTTAATTAATTCGTAAGTGACGTATACAAGTGTTCCCAGAGAGATTTAATCCCAAATTGACTAATTTTCACCATCAACAACATATATAGCTTTGTTGGAAAGTTGCATTCCTGAGCGGGATTCAATCAATAACCAACTCTTGTAAGACACCTCAGGCTCTAGCCTTCAAGTTCCAAGCTTTACCTACCTCGTGCGAAATATAAAGTTGATCATCATTCATCCAAATAAGGAAAATCATAATCGAAAAGTAGAAACACACGCACTTTATTATGATAAGGACCTTGTACAGATTTACTCTGGTTGTTATAGAAGAACATACTTCTTGGTATTGGTCCCCACGTAGTCCTAACCATACGACAATACTAACCAAAGTATATGAAAATAGTGTTGTTTTTTTTTTTTTTTTTTTATTTTTTTTTTTTTTTTTTTTTTTTCATTTCTTTTTGTTTTCTTGTTCAGAAAAGACACGTTTTGGAAGTTTTGGATAACGACCCACCAATGGTACATTTATATCATATCCCTCTGAAACCTCGAATTATAGCACGAAAGTTTAAGTTTTACATAATCGGTTTTTCAGAATTCATCAGAACCTTGAATGCAAAAGGATGGCTCTTTGTGATTATGTATGTTGGGATTGTGACAAAACACTAAAGTCCATTCCTATCATTGTAAAATTATCCATCACGAGAAATCTTCCCATCTTTGTAAAATTAGGGACCATGAAAAATCTAAGTCCTCGACCTGGCTGGAGATACGACAAAAAAAGTGATCAATGATAACCAAAATCGAGAAAATAGCCTAGCAACACGCTTGGAGTACTTCCTTAAGTAGAGAACAAGAATAAAGGATACCGATAAATGCAATAATATTATAATGCCTAAATGTTAAGTTTTAACCGTCAAACTACATAATAATTACATTAGAATAAAAAAAATGTAAGAGAAAATTAGTGAACTCACTATTTGAATGTATTATTTTAAAATTTTTACAATTTACTATTCATTAATATTCTTTTGACTAATATAATTTTTTGACTAAAGGGTATTAATTAAGAGTAAGAGATGAAAATCTAACAGCCTGTTTATTTACTATTCATTAATATTCTTTTGACTAATATAATTTTTTGACTAAAGGATATTAATTAAGAGTGAGAGATGAAAATCTAACAGCCTGTTTGGTTTATGGATTTAGAATTATGAGTCTAATTTTTAAAATTTAAATTTTTTATAAGAGAAAAATACTGTAAAAAATCATGAACTATGATTTAAAATTAAGAACAGATACATAAAATAAACGTCTCGTGAGACTTATACATGTTAAAGAGTAATTGTCTCCTCTTTGACTTTTTTCAAAGTTCAAACGGTTTCAAATCGTAACACGACGGTTTAAAATCGTACTTCACTGATAGTTTATGCTACCATAAATTTTTGCTTCAAAGTTTGACTTGAAATTTTGTAGAGGAATGTGTAAGTTGCCATAAATTGTTTCCAAGGACGGACCTTTTGTAGTGTAATTACTCTGTCACCAAATTGACAATTCATCAACATTCAATTTTGGCAAGTAGTACATGATATCCAAAAAGTGATCAGGAGTCATTCTACCAAGTATATTGACCGCTTTTATGTTGATCCAGACAAGAGATGGCCCTTTTGAATGCAGTTTTCACATAAACGAGAACAAGGGTCCTGTTTGTTGGTCTTAAATGACACTAGGGTTTAAATTGAACGGTACAGATAGTACTTGTAGAAATACTCGCCAAGTGTGATGGAAATAAAAGAAATAAACTATAGTGGAGGAAGAGATTAATTGCCAGCAACCTTTTAGTTTACAGTTTAAACCAGTCTAAAAAATTTTTTTGTTACAATGTCTCCCTCACAATTGCTGTTGAAACGTTATGTTCAAATCTATAAACTAAACGGGTATTGGCGTTTGCCCTCATATGTGTTCAGATGTGATTACTAAATTAGAAGTCCATATTTTTAGTTTAAATGAAACTGCTAGAACGCCATTACAGCATAGTGATCAAGAGAAGGAGCAAATTCTTTAAACTCCGGAAGAGATCTGCCAAATATGTCAAGCTTCCAATCATTATTTTATAATAGTTTATTACAACAACATTCCAACATCAAACTGAAACTTAGTATCAAAAGTAATCTTTGTGTATATCTGCAATAACATTTATTCTTTTGCGCTTCCATAATCTTACACAACATTTACTTTAGAGAAATCTGACTTTTACTAAAACGCCAACTCATCAACAGGAATTATATAGATTCCATTGGCCTTTAAAGACAATTTCTTTTTGTGTTTTTCAATAAAATCACATAGTGTACAATAGCCAAAATTAAATACAGCTTCAGCTACTACAACAAAGTCAAAAATATACCCGTAATCCTTCCAAAATACCAAAGTCAAATACCCACAAGGAAAAAGGGAAATAAAGTCAAATACATGAACAACTAGATATATTCCCCTCAATTAGTGACTTTGTATAGACATGATTTTCTATATATCTATGACATTGTTAAGATTTGAAGACAAAATTTGACCATCGGAAAGAACGAGGAAAATGTATGGATAAAACTAAGAGGACGTTTGATTTATGTATTCAGAATCATGATTCAGAATCATTCTCGCTTTATGTGTATTTTTTATGAGAAAAAATACTGTAAATAACCATGAATCATGATTCAAAATCAGTAACGAATATAGTAAATAAACGTCCCCTAAATTTTTTTTCCAATTGCTTTGTTCACGAACAAGATTGTTGAACTTTCACTTATACACAATGCCTGGCCCTCCCAAAAGAAAGGGAAAAATGAAAGAGTGACTCATTATATTCTGAAAGAAATTCTTGAAGTTGGAAAACTAACTACCAAAATTTTTATAAAAAAAAACAAAAAATAAATAAAAATTAGCTGGAAAGTGCTGGCAAAACCTACTACTCGTCCAAGAAGCGCTTCACAATCTTCACGCTTGGTTCCAATACCTGCCTCTCCCAAATTTCCGAACACCTCTTACCGGAATCTGACGTCATCACCGCCCTAAACGCCTCCGTCGCGTCCAACCTCCGTAGGTCCCACCCCAATCCCTTTAATCTCAGAATCTTCCCAATCTGTCTCTTCGCCAGCTGACACGTGTTTGCCTTTATTTCCCTCACCGCCACCTCGTATGCTTCCCTCCGCACCCGATCCCACTCTCCTTTCTCCCCCGGTGTGCACCTCTCGAAATACCGGTCAAACTCGGGCACGCCTATAGCCTTCCTCAATCCGGTCCAGTTCGCCGGTCCGTGATCCTCCTCCGGGTCGTAGAACTCGGCCAACTCGTCGAACATCCCCGAGTTGAGCATGTCATCGACTCGCTTCACCAAATAATCCTCCAAAACCCTCAACGAAACATCCACCCAAAGGAAGCAACAGTTGTAGCGGAGGAGAACCTTCGACGAATCCGCCGGTTGGTCGGACCGCTCGTCGAAAACGTCGTATTCCGGGTCGAACCGGTCCACGAGCAGGGCGTGAATGAAGGAGTTGGAGCCGCCGGCGAGGACTGGGAGTTTCCTCCTGGCGGTGATTTCCGACACGGCCTTTCCGGCCAAGGAGCGGAACTCGGAGCGAGTCAACTCGCCGTGAGCTTCCGAGTCGACCTCGCCGAGAAGGTGGTGGGGGACACCGAGGCGGTCGTCGAGGGGAATCTTGTTGGTCGTTGTGTCGAGTCCCTTGTAGACTTGCATTTTGTCTGAGTTGATGATCTCGCCGTTGAAGTGGGTGGCGAGCTCGACGGAGAGTCGGGATTTTCCGGTGCCGGTGGCGCCCATGATGACGAGGAGCTTGTCCTTGGGGTGGTGGCGGTGGCGGCGGGCGGCGGAGGAGGAAAACTCCATCCGCGCCCACCTGTCTCGTGGGCCAGAGGTAGTGGCCGGGAAGGAGGGGTTAAACGAGTAACGAAATTTATATACGTTGATTGAAGGAGGACAGTAGCAGTGGAAATGACAATTGGAGCGAATTGGGAGGAGATCAGGGCTCATGGAAGGGACGACTATAAGACGACGGCCTTGATGTCGTTTTATGATCAGCTGTGCCTGTACTGCCGCTGCACAGACATACGGAATAATATTGATCACAAATGGGAGCAGATGAAAGGGCAAAAAGAAAAGGAAAAAAAAAAAAAAAAAAAAAACCGTTTAGAGAGAGAAAAACAGAGAGAGAGAGTTAGTGGGGGTTTTTTTTTTTTTTTTTAAATAGGCAAAACAAACAGATTATAAGCAGTACCAGGTGGTGGTAGGAGTACTAGTGAGGAGTATTTTCTATGAGCTGTACGGATGAAATATTGGGCATTGCGAATACGGATTATCAGAAAACCTCTGTTTTTAAGAATTGGGTTTTTCTTCTTCTTCTTCTTCTTTTTTTCTTTTTGTTTTTTATGATGATGATGGGTGGGTTGGCGTCATGCCTTGTGTGGGAATTAATGTACCTGTGGAGTAATATAGTAGTAGTAGTACTGGGAATCGGTATTGTCGTCGTTGGTGTTGTGTTTTGGTATCTTTTAGCTGCCTCTTCTTCTCATGCCAAATACCATTCATTCGCTTCATGCGTCCTCTCTGTCTCTCTTCAGGAGCGTGTAATTTCGGTTTATATATAATATATATGCTTGTATGTGTATATATATATAGAAAGAGAGAGAGAAGTCGGAAGAGAAGACGCTCTTAGTGCTGCTCGTCCGAAGAGAAGACGCTCTTAGTGCTGCTTTCTTATATATGTCTCTCTATTTATGTATATGATTTTTTTTTTTTTTTTTTTGGATGGGGTGTGTGTGTGGATTAGGAGAAAAGTAGCGAATTAGAATGGAGCTACCTCAAGCTTATTTTAAAAATGTATTTTTATAATTACCATAGCCGTGTTTATACTATAAAAAAAAATAAAAATAAAAAAGTGGGCGGATTTTATGTTCCAAGTATAAATCCCCTGTATGAAATCTAAACGGAAACCAAACACCTTAGGGAAATTATAAGGGAAAGCCCATTTCTTATCCCATGTAAAGTTGACACTTGCTAGGAACTAGGAAGAATCATATTATTCTATACATTCAAATGCACTATTTTGTTTTGTTCTCTTCTTGCTTTCTCGCAAATACATATGAATTATTTTGAAGTACATGGCTAAATGTCAGCCCAAAGTTTCTATCTAATGCTTGGTATTACCTCCATACAATCAATAGTTGTACATAAACATGTCAAAATTCATAGAACGTATGTACTTATATATATTGTTGACGGTAGAAATTCCTCAACGAGAATAATTCACATTTTAGAAAGGTTAACGTGATTTTAATCTAAGAAACGTTTTTTTGAAGGACTCAAACTAATTAGAAAGCAAGAACACACAGATTTCTAGTGGTTCACTTTTTTTGTTCAAGAGTTACGTCCATCGTGGAGAGGAAAGAAATTCACTATGTTCTGAAGAATGAGATTATAGCATGTCCTTCTGGACTTGTCCTTTCTACATATAAACCCCCCTTGCACTCTCGGTGATTTTCTCTTATTTTATTCCGGGATATTTTCCTCATATTTTAGAATAATATCTCCTGTTGGTTGGGATCTTTGCTAATCAACGAGATTTTCTCACTTATTTCCCCAATTTCTTTGTTTATTTTAATTACAAGTCACAAATCTCAAGACAAGCCTCATATCTCTCTCGATCTGCGTAGACTTAGCTCCTTGAGCGTTCGTTGAGTCATCTCCGCTTATGACTACCAGTGCGGTCGACTTCTTGTTTTCCTCAACCACTCTAAGCGATTGACCACCTTTATACATTTTCTGCTTTACTTGCGCTCTATTCCCAAAAGAATCTTCGCCCAATGTGGCAGCTAGGGCAACCTTCATCCGATGTGGCAGCCAGAACAAAACTGTTCTGATCATTGTCATCATTTATGACGTGTGGGTCCCATCTAATATCTAAATTAAAGTTTGGAATGTTTACCCTACAACATTTATGCTCACATCAATAACTTGTTTTAATTTAATCATGTCAAAATTCAAACATTAAAAGATATCCAGATTAATCATGAAGTCAAAACTTTGAACGGACATAACATAAATCAACTAGCAAAAACAAAACTGATCATGATTGATCATAAAACATGCATCTAGCAGTAGTTAATAAGCAAATACCCCTTTGAAAAAATGGCATTTAGTGAGAAGTTAATTTATTACCTAATTAAAATGAGAAAAAGGTATCATATTACTGTAACTAGTACTTGTCTGCTTATTCACTAACATATACGAGCAGGATTGTTTCCTATTCATTGAACATTCATTCAAAGCTTATGAAGCGAATCTATGAACAATGAAGAAACATGCATGTATATCTAGTAGCATTGTATATAAAAAAATTGTCTTGACAGCGCTTCTAATATCATTAGAGTTTTTGATAAATTAGTACTGAAACGAATATTAGTACATGTAACACATACGGCTAATATCAATATTAACGTACTTAAGTTGACCTATTCAGCTCAATGCGAAATGTTGCTTTTGCAATAATATTTTTGTTTTTGTTTGTTATTATATAGTTTCAGGAAAAAAAAATGTTATAATTTTTGTTTTTTTGGGAACTAGTTTCAGACAAAGAAGTTACATGTACAGTTGCTTTGTTCTAATTATGTTCGATTCTTTGGACATGACAATTCATATATCGAATCCAGTGTGACTCCTCAAATAAAATATGCCGCATGCACATTTGTTCAATGTCTTGCCACGGGAGGTTGACCACAATTTCACCCATAAAATAATTCTAGAAAATTTTAAATCATTAATGTTAATTAAACTAATTATGTTTGATTGGTATCATAACTAATTACAGTTTAGAGCCTAATTAGCAAGCTTAGTGTGCTGCTTGAAGATATTCTCTTAATTAGCAAGCAAATTAATAAAATAATATTGGTTAATTAGAAATTGCCTAATTTTACAAAAGTTTGCATAGCTATATAGTATATATAGTGGAATTAATATGAAGCGTGGGCTTGACTGGCCATTGATCATGAGAGTTAGCATGAGCTATAGCTAGGGTTGTGTGTTGATGACAGTAGGCGTGCCCCTTTCCTCACGATGCCCCATACATTTTTAGATTTTTTTTTTTTTTTTTTTTTTTTACAATTTCAATTTTGTACTAAGACTAGATAGATTCAAATATTAGAGCTTGATTTCAATATTATATAGGAAAATTGTAAGGTAGGGTGCAAAGAAAAAAGAAATGTAGAAAAAGAAAATAACTATAAACCATGAGATTCGGTTATATTTTGTGTTTTTGTATAAATTTATTAATTTAATGTAATCTGATGCTAAAAAATTTCTACTACATATGGAAATTATCCCCAAAATTAGATATAATGCTTTTTTAATGTAAGTGGTATTGACAACTGAATATTGCTGAATATTTTATTAGACAATACTAGTTATCTGGATTTGTATTCGGAACTTACATTTAGCATGCGATCTATTATGTATGTTTTTTTTTTTTTTTTTTTTTTTTTTTTTTTTTTTGGCTATGAATAAACATCTTTATTAAAGCCCGGAGGCAGCAAACAGAAGCTGTCACGGAGGGACTTCTTCCTTTAGAGTTTCAATATTACTTTAATTAGCATTACGAAAGAAAGCCTCGTGGAATCTCTCCTGAACTCGAACTGCTATTATATTACGATTGGACTCCACTCGATCCAAAATCAATTCCTACTTCTAACACAAACACAAACCCCCGGCTAAACCTATAGAAGGCACAATTATGTCTAACCAGCTCCTCATTTAACTTAGATGACGTTTGGTTTATGTATTCAGAATTGTGATTCAGAATTGTGATTCAGAATCATTCTCGTTTTACGTGTATTTTTTGTGAGAAAAAACACTGTAGAGAATCATGAATCATGATTCAGAATCAGAGACGAATATAGAAAACAAACGTATCCTTAATCTCCATTAAAAATAAGTAATCCGAATCATTCTTCTTGATGAAAGCTCTCAACTCCCGCCCCGCCATCGGTCTCGCAAGACCACGGCAATTCCAGGATATGCACCTCATAGAGAAGGTGGGGGCATGATAAGGCCCGCCTATCGGCCGAAACAAAATTTTGCACTTGGTTCACCAAAACTTCTACCAACTCATCACCATTAGGGACCACCAACCCTTTCCCCGAGTTCCTACCGCCACTTAATTTCTTCTCAGCTCCTTTACAAGGTGCCGATCCTTTTTTCCTCCTCTTTGAGTATGACTCCTTTATTGACTTGGTACTACTACCAACATTAAAAGCGGATAGGGTCGCCATAAGTTCCAAACCATTTGAATCACCAACATCCATCAACTATTGCGCTGTAGAGCTCCCCGAATCTGGTTTCGTGGATGATGGCATAATATAGAGTAAATTATGGGCCTTTATCTTCTTAGAACCCGCTACTTGATCAATAAGATCGCCGAAAGAAACCGGTTCACCAATCAATGACTGAACAATTTTATATGTGTAACGATTTACTTTTGTCTTGCTTTTTTTTTTTTTTTTTTTTTTTTTTTTTTTTTTTTTTTTTTTTTTTTTGGCTATGAATAAACATCTTTATTAAAGCCCGGAGGCAGCAAACAGAAGCTGTCACGGAGGGACTTCTTCCTTTAGAGTTTCAATATTACTTTAATTAGCATTACGAAAGAAAGCCTCGTGGAATCTCTCCTGAACTCGAACTGCTATTATATTACGATTGGACTCCACTCGATCCAAAATCAATTCCTACTTCTAACACAAACACAAACCCCCGGCTAAACCTATAGAAGGCACAATTATGTCTAACCAGCTCCTCATTTAACTTAGATGACGTTTGGTTTATGTATTCAGAATTGTGATTCAGAATTGTGATTCAGAATCATTCTCGTTTTACGTGTATTTTTTGTGAGAAAAAACACTGTAGAGAATCATGAATCATGATTCAGAATCAGAGACGAATATAGAAAACAAACGTCTCCTTAGTCTCCATTAAAAATAAGTAATCCGAATCATTCTTCTTGATGAAAGCTCTCAACTCCCGCCCCGCCATCGGTCTCGCAAGACCACGGCAATTCCAGGATATGCACCTCATAGAGAAGGTGGGGGCATGATAAGGCCCGCCTATCGGCCGAAACAAAATTTTGCACTTGGTTCACCAAAACTTCTACCAACTCATCACCATTAGGGACCACCAACCCTTTCCCCGAGTTCCTACCGCCACTTAATTTCTTCTCAGCTCCTTTACAAGGTGCCGATCCTTTTTTCCTCCTCTTTGAGTATGACTCCTTTATTGACTTGGTACTACTACCAACATTAAAAGCGGATAGGGTCGCCATAAGTTCCAAACCATTTGAATCACCAACATCCATCAACTATTGCGCTGTAGAGCTCCCCGAATCTGGTTTCGTGGATGATGGCATAATATAGAGTAAATTATGGGCCTTTATCTTCTTAGAACCCGCTACTTGATCAATAAGATCGCCGAAAGAAACCGGTTCACCAATCAATGACTGAACAATTTTATATGTGTAACG